AATACAACTTGCATAAAATCATACTGACTTTGTCTGATCATACTATAATTTTCTAACTTTATTATTAAGATTTTCTTAACAATAGATTCCAGTGTTTTCCCAACAGATTTCACGTTTCAGAAATGTATCTTGAGTCTTCTACAGTGAAGTCACATAAAACATTTCACTGCTGCTGCCATTTTCTCATATTTCTATAATTTGTCCCGTCACTTCCTCTAATGGACTAATGTTTACTTTTGCTACTCTCTACCTTTACAATTAATGTAGGAATAGCCAATAAATGTTTGCCAAGCTACTAACACCAACACCCCATGAAGAAATAGATTTTAATAAAAAAGTTCCTTTGAATCACTCCACAAATTATTTATTCCACCTATGCTGTTGGTTCCCAAGTGGACCATGGTAACTAGATTCCCTCTGTCACTGTCAAGTGGACTGGCAACTGGATCCCTCTGTTGTAAGTTTTCGCATTTGGAATTGTTAGCTAAAATTAAAACTCATGAAACTGAAGGCTAATCATTGACCTCGTTAAGAGACTGGTTAGGAGGTAGAAAGAGTTGAATAATGGATATGCATTTGAAAAGAAGGGAAGTGATTAGTGGTGTCCCACAGGTATCTGTGCCGGGTCCTCAACTATTCATTATATTTATTAATAATTTAGACAGCATAATGGAGAGCCACGTATCCAAGTTTTCCAATGGCACAAAGATTGACAATTTAGTAAGTAGTGTAGACAGGAACAGAAAATTACAGAATGTCAGTAATAGATGAAGTGAGTGGATGAAACTGTATCAGGTGAATTTCAACAAAGGAAAAGATGAGGTCATCCACTTTGCACAAAAAAAGGATGGGATCACTATTAACTAAATGATAAAGAATTTATGAATGGTGAATGTCCAAGCAGGACTCCATGAACGCAGATCAAGGAAATGTAGTAGTCAAGTACTAAACATAATCAAAAAGATTAACCGGCCTTATGCTATAGGTACCCAAAATGCTGGTTAGATATCATCTGAAGTACTGTGTACTGTTGGGGCAGGATATATTGGCTTTTGGAAAAAGTGCGTTGCAGATTCACCAGAACATTACCAGGCTTCAAAGATCATGAGAAGAAATATCTAAAATAGATTTGCATTATTTGGAATGTACAAGGTGAAATGGTGGCTTCACTGAGGAGTTTCAGATTTTTGAAGCAGGTTAATAGCGTGGGTAGTGGGAATCCTTTTCCACTGGTGGAGAGTCTCAGACAAGGGTACATGATCCAAAAGTCAATGTCAGGCAATTCATATAGAGAGGTTACAAAAAGCTTCTTCATGCAAAGAATGGTTGAATTGTGGAGTATTGTTTCACAAGAAGAATAGATGTGAGTTCAGTTAATCATTTTAGATCCGAGATCACTAGATTTTTGTTAGCCAACAGGATTTTGGGTTGTAGAACTAAAGTAGCTGGACAGAGTTAAAGGAAAAATCAGACATGATCTCATTCAGTAGGAGAACAGGCCTAATGTGCTGAAAGACTGCCTCCTGTTCCCATTATACAAAGAACAAAGAAAATTACAGCACACGAACAGGCCCTTCGGACATCCAAGCCTGCACCGATCCAGATCCTCTATCTAAACCTGTTGCCTATTTTCCAAGGATCTGTATCCATCTGCTCCCTGCCCATTTATGTATCTGCCTAGATACATCTTAAATGATGCTATCGTGTCTGCCTCTACCACCTCCACTGGCAACGCGTTCCAGGCACCCACCACCCTCTGCGTAAAGAACTTTCCACGCATATCTCCCTTAAACTTTTCCCCTCTCACCTTGAATGGGAGGACTGTAGGGCCTTCTGCATGAACTTTGACAAACTGCATTATTTTCTTCATCCATAAATAATGTGTAAATAATGGACACATCACATGGACAGCTATGTCACTGATTGACTATTCAGCAATTCCATACATCAAGGAAGATGGAATCCATTCAGCTCCTTCAGCCTGTTCTACTGTTTGTAGAAAAAAGATTCACACTGTCCACGCTAACAATCACTTTTGAAAATCCAAAGTTCCTCAGTTGAATCATCCTTTCACCTTGTACATTCCAGGTAATGCAAGTCTAGTTTAGATATATCTTCTCATATTCTTTGGAGCCCTGATGATGTTCTTATGAATCTGAAATGCACTTTTTCCAAGGCCAACATATTCTGCTCTGAACGGATTACAATACTTCAGATCATGTCCAACCAGAAACATAGAAAATAAGAGCAGGAGTAGGCCATTCAGCCCTTTGAACCTGTTCCACCATTCAACTGGATCACGCCCACATCCCATGAATGAATAAAAAAGATAACTTGGGAGCTGTCAGTCAACATCCAATTACAGGGCTGCAATCTCCACTACAAAACAGCTGGATCTAAAACATGAATTTGATTCTGGTAACATTCTTTGTACAGCGAATACATTGGAGAGTTTAAAATAAATGCTTTTCAAATCACAGATCAGACAGTGATTTCTTAGAAATACATTCTCATAACCTCAAAAGCAAAGGTGTGAAAACTGACATTAAAACTCCAGTGATTTAATACTTCAAATCTCAGCTCTTTCATGGAGAGTAAGTCTCCTCAAGGATAATAATTCAAAGAATCATGACTGATTAACGGTGAGCCAAACAGGTTCATTTTCATTTTTATTGCCTGGGTCTCCAGAATTTTGAGAGGCATTTTGGAGGTTGTTTTCCATGACTCTGTCCATTTATAAGTTAGAATATTAGTTTATGGTGACTAAATGAGTCATCTCATGTTTTTGTTACACAGATTCCTGGTTGGCTCATCAGTATTTTGCAGCTTAAATTCTGCAATTCTGTCTGGCTTTCTGAGAAATCATGAAGCAGTTGCCTTGATCAAACTCAGAGAATTACAGTGCCTAACTCTGGAATTATATTTTGGGGAATTAATGAAATGTCCTAAAAAACAAAAAGCTGATATTATTAACATAGATTTTTATTAAGGAAGAGACTTCTTGAAAACTAAATTGCAGTTTTGGGATATATAAGGGAAGTATCCGATGATGAAAGCTCATCGACTTGAAACGTTGCCCTCTGATTCTCTCTCTACAGATGTTGCCAAACCTGTTGAGTTTTTTCCAGCTTTATTTGTACCTATTTTTGCTGTTATAATATTGCTTGTGTTCTAATTGTTAACAAACTTTGTGATGAGCCAGTAAACTGAGTACAGATTTCTAATGAGCACAAATCTGGAATTTTACCATCTGTTCTGAAACATTCTCAAGATAACTGAAATAATTCACAGTTAAGAGTTGTTTTCAAAAGGATTCCAAGAGTCAGGTGCATTGAGGTGTTGCTGTGTCATTCAGTCAGTTCTTTAGCAGTTAGAACACAGAGTATTGTAACACCAGATACATAAAGCCCAAGACTGTAATTTATTGTTAAAGAGATCTTTTTCTTAGTTAAAGTCTATGCTAATACTCTTTTCTTTTAAGCATCTTGTTTTGAAATGCTCACGTCCAAGAGTTCTGTACGTGCCTTGTGTTGAGAATTCAGCAATGAGTCTTGCTACAACTTAACCCTCTCCTATCTCTGTAAAAAACCACAAGCCTCTGAAATATTTGCACTCCTCAAATTCCAGCCTCATTCATATCCAAACGTTGTTATCACCCCACTAGTGAGAGTTATGTCTCCTCATGTGTGTCTTAAGCACTGGAATTCCCTCTCTTAACTTCTCCTTTACTTCATCCTTTTCAGGATGTCCTTAAAATCAACCCATTTATTCACATTTCTGATTATCTGCCCTAGTACTTCTTTGGTATCAAACTGTGTCTGATAGTACCCCAATGAAGTGCTTGTACTCTTTCAATATGTTAAAGTCGCAAGATAAATATGCATGTTGCTGATTTGGAAAGATTACCCAGTTGTTACGGTTAGTGTTTGTAGAAAGGTTACCTGGTGTAACAGTTCACATTGGAGCAAACAACATCTGATACTTCATAGCAGTTTGTACAACAATTATCCTAGGGTTATGGTCAAAATTACGTAAAGATAATTCCTGGGTTAATTTTGTCCCTTATGGCTTTGTGGCCTTATCTAACCATGGCCCCTTGATATTCAATGACACTGTCATCATTTATCCCTCACTAGCAACATCCTGAGAGTTGCCAATGATCCAAAACTGAACTGGACTAAATTTATAAATACTGTGATTACAAAAACAGGTCAGGGACAAGGAATCCTGCAGCGAGTAACTCACCTCCTGACTCCCCAAAGCTTATCCAGCATCTACAAAGAACAATTTAGGAGTATGATGGAATACTCCTCATTTGCCCAGATGGGTGCAGCTCCAACAATATTCAAGAAGCCTGACACCATTCAGGACACACACACCTGTTTGATAGGCACTACATCCACAAATACCTACTCCCCCCACCAGCAATGCTCAGTAGCAGCAGTGTGTACCATCTACAAGATGCACTGCAGAAATTCACCAGAAATGCACCTTCCAAACCCACAACCACTGCTATCTGGAAGAACAAGGACAGCAAACACAATGGGAACACCACCACCTGCAAGTTATCCTCCAAACCACTCACCATCCTGACTTACGTCCTAAAATATTTCACTGTCCCTTCACTGTCACTGGGTCAAAATCCTGTAATTCCCTCCCTAAGGGCATTGTGGGTCATTGTGCACATGGACTGCAGCGATTTACGAAGGCAGCTCATCACTACCTTCTCAAGGGCAAGTGGGAATTGGAGATAATTGCTGGCCCAGCCAATGATGCCCACATCCCATGAATGAATTTTTAAAAATCTCATTCATCATCCTCTTTCAAACATTGATTGGTGACACCTCTTTTTCTTTGTATGGTGTAAAAGTTAACTTTTTCAAGCATAGCGATTATTTCAATTCTAAAATGTGCCAACTTCACACAAATCCACTTTTCAAAATAATTATTGGAAGCAAAATGCTGGCATCAAACAGCTGGCATTTGAATATAATACTCACATTGTATTTGTTCCAGTCCTGGTAAAACACCGACAGGACAACGAAGGGCATGACTCCCAGTCCCACCAGACAGTCGCTAACAGCCAGGTTGACCAGAAATACCGAGGTCACTGAGTGGAAATGTTTAGTCACAACAATAATGGCGATCACCAGAATGTTACCTGAAATGATAACAGTTTTGAAAAATGCAAAAATCTAAGAATAAAATAATTTCACATTGTTAAGGCAGCAAGAGGGATGGATAAGGAATCACTCTGGGTGCGAATCATTGTACTCAAACCTAAACTGAACTGACAAGGCCTAAACAAGGTTGTTGTGAAAACTAGAAATGTGGGAATGGACTAAAGAGTTCTGAGGTCTTGACCTGTGTGGGTCTGGGATTTTGACCTGTGCGGGTCTGGGGTTTTGACCTGCGCGGGTCTGGGGGTTTGACCTGCGCGGGTCTGGGGGTTTGACCTGCGCGGGTCTGGGAGTTTGACCTGCGCGGGTCTGGGAG